TGAAATGGAAATAAAATCTCCTAAATCTTAGATTTATAAACACCAGCCTTCTAGCATTACCCACAGTGTGCTAGATACAGTGCTAACATGCAGAAAGAAATAGTACACAGTCTAGGATAAACCAATAGTAAGCTACTAGGTAGAATATAACAGTTAACGGATCAACATAGTCCTAATAGGGTCACTACACCCTATTCCTAGACGTCCTTCAGTTCTGACACTGTCATGTGGCAAATCTCTACCTTACAAGACCAGAACACAGCAAAGTGAATGGCCCTGCAGGTCAGCTCAGGAGCTGTGTTATGAATAGAGACGCTGCTTTTAACATGCAGACAATTGTAAGGAAAAAAATATTTTTATGGGCGAGAAGTCTAACTACTTACCTGTAGTAACTGAACTTCTGACTTTCTCTATCCTTTATTTAATTACTTTTCTCTAATAGAAATCACTAGAACGCTGACTAAGAGTCCTTTACAAGTTACGCAGCTCTCTCATTCAACAGGAACATTGCTCTGTACTAACAGTACTCTCTACTATGTCTATGTACAAAGCAATTTTGTTGAATATACTCTGAAAAGAGCAGAAGAATACTATTTCCAAATTTATCAAACTCACTGAAGTTGGATAAAGGCAAATGGGAGATGTTAAAAGCAGTAGTTCTCTAGTTTTCTAAATTTATAATGAATTATTGGAATAAAGCTTTCACTGTCTTAATTTTAAAAATATTTTATTTATAAAGTATTTCTTAGGATAACTTATTATAAATTATAGGGTGTGCATCTCACAGGTCTTGAAAATTTTAAGTACTACGAAGAAGGCTGACAGGGGTGTAGGAAGAATAAAGTGAAGCTATATACCTTTATTATGTAGATTCTCAACTTTTTTAATGGAAAGACTTTAATTTTCACAGTTCTGAAACTTCCAACTGTGAACAACATATCATAAACACAAGAATGTCTTCAGAAAAAATAGCTCTAGAAATACTTAAACCCTTTTTTCCAGCCACTTGACTGAACTGTTACCAATAAAACCTAATGCTGATACTGTTCCATAGTTGATCACTGAAGCGTGGTATAAGGTCGCAGTGAAGAGGACGCCAGAGAAGGGAATTGGGCAGCATCAGCATTATTGTCAGGTAAAATACTCCTTACTGAAAACACAAGGAACCAGCACATAGAAGAAGAGAAAGAAAAGACAGGAGGAAGAGCTAAAAAAGAATGTAAACAGCAGTAGTCCTAAAACCCCCTGGCATTTTCTCAGTAAGGGACACAATGAAGTCGTGAAGAAATCAAAGATGACGATAAGCAAAGGTCAGTTATTACAGTAATGCTGTACCTGGTATGCTAGACCTTGGGAAAGTTTTGCTGTGGGAGTGTCAAATACAGAATGCAGTATTCTTCAGTTATATCCCAGCTGACAGACCACACGCAAAATGGAACTCAAATACATCTGAATATCTGTACTCAAATTCCTCTGAATACATCGATAGCTGCATTGACCATATTCTGGCAAAACACGAAGGGAAACGCTGCCATAGTACAGGAGCACTGAAAAACGCTATCTAACTGTGACGTGGGTTTGTAAGTTATGCTACACTAAAATATCCGAGCTCCTTCCACGTAAAAATACACATCAGCTGAAGTCCTGCCCATAGATTTTATGTTCCTTTTAATGTATAGGACTGGGTTGCTGAGTTCATACCTCACACTATTGCAGACAAAACATCATGTATCAGCTTCACAGAATTTATCCCAAGCTTTGGAACAGAACCCAGCTCCTCCAGGTCACCGCAAAAGATTGCAAAACAAACCCTCAAGTATGATATTTGAATATATATACAATTTTAATATAGAATGTTGATTGGGGGGCGGTGGATTCACTTATTGATGGGCTTACAGCAAACTGGTTTGATCAAAGATAGCTTTTAGGAACGTTAGAAATTCCAGTCTTGAGAATATTCCTTTAAAATAAGGAAGCTAGATGGGACTGCTAAGTAAATTCAGATATGTAGGGTTAAAAACACATTAGTGTATAAGGTATGCTGTTATTAGCCATTATTTGGCATGATTTCTGAATTCCAAGACGATTTACAATTTAAAACATGATCCCTTGTGATAATAATAGTATCATTTAGTAAATGATCCTAATGAAAAGTCTGCTCCATGTAAAAAAAAAAAAATAATACTGAAGCATACTTACTATAAAAAGCATATTAGGCAACTTTTCTGCAGTGTCTTCACCTTTATTACTGAAGGAAAACACTGCAATATATAAAGTCAAACTCATACATTTGCATTTTTGTGGAAGAGGAACAAAGCAAGTAATCTCATTACATAAAGTCAGCCTCTGAGTGCTTTGACAATGAATACTGAGTCAATCTTGCCATTAAGTCAGGGTGTATAAGGCAAATATGCTCTACTTGAAATGTAAAATTTAATTCCAGCACGATCACTTCAGGGACCAGTTCTGCAAAGTACAGCAGCCATGGCATGGCATACCATCACAGCGTAACTAACTATACACTCCTGTTAAACCCATTTTAAACTCTATTGTACAATAGCCTTTGTCTTAGTAAAGCTGTTTTAACCACAGACCGTATTTGTCTGAGCAAGTTTTCCTACCTGTTTTTCCACTGAACCTGAGCAAATCTTTCAGTGGCTAATTTACTTGGTACATTTTCATTTGCTGTCATTCATAAATAATTTATAGCTTTAAGAAATGAATTACTTTTGCTTTTATATGTTTTGTTTCTTTGTTTCTTTCTAAAGAGTGATTTGCAAATTGTTTGCAGACCACACTCAAAAAAACCTTTCAATTTTTCAACTATGGATTTTTGATTGGGTATCACTATGTGTAGTTTTGGGTGTTTGTTAAGAGTCATTGGCCTATGACTTGCAATTATAAATCACTTAACTATCAGTTCCCCTGAGTTCAAGCAAAGCTACAAACTATAGTTTCTTTCTGGTCAAGAGATCTGGGAAGAGAGAAGAAAGTAAGAAGAATTGCCGAGTATCTTACTTTGATGAATGGCTTCGGAGAGCAAGGAGGAAGGCACAAAAAAGAAGGGAGAACAGCTGAGAAACACAAAAGGAAAGAAATCTCCTGGAAACCAGAGGAGTAGCAGGAGAACCTTCTGTCATGATTCACTTAATGTAAAACTGATCTTTACTGATGTCCTGCCACATGATTCACATCAGGCTGCTGATACATTTGTTTACTCTTCAGGGAAGTGCAGTCTGCCTTAGTCCTAAAGGTCCCTCTCTGTTCAGAAAGTTTATCCCTCACCCCTGTACTATCTGACCACTTTCTTAATCTGTAATAATATGCTCAATATGAGTTACAGATTTTAAAAGAATACGTTAAAACATTTAAAGAGTATGTTCACACATACATTCAAATGCAATGAAAGTGTGAATGCATGAAACATCCTCTGTAGACACAAACTGTATACGCATCTTCCTGGGACACATTTTTGTGGCAATGTCAAAGCATATAAAACACTAACACATTTTCACTATATTCAGAACTGTATAAACATATTAAGCATTTGTTATTTGCATATTTGAACACACTATAATCTTGATCCTACTAGCCATCTCCCTATGGCTTTCCCACTGCCCTATTCATCTTTCCTAGAAACTTTGCTGGAAGATCTTTTAGTTACAGCCTTTCTGTAATTCTACACACATAATTATTGCAATTGCTCATTTGTGCCATATGTAGTTTTGGTTATAATATGTGCATATGTAGGTATTTATACATGCACATGCATACAGTCATACACACCACTAGTAACTCTTAATTTTGTTCAACCTGCTAATTTAATTATTCATTTAATCTGACAAATTTTTCTATTAAATTGACTCAAATACTCAAATGTAGTGTCTTACTGAAAGAAAAGAAACCAAAACCCAGAAGTTTTAAGGAAGTTGATTGCTTTTCAAGTGTTTTATTTAAAACATACATATATGCTAACATTTAAACTTATTCCCTATAGGCCAAAAACTCATCCCATTGAAATGAATGGCATATTTAGTTCAACAGGCAGAAGTTCAAACCTTAGTGCTTTGAAATAGTAAACATTTTATCCAGCACTTCAAAAATAATGGATGATTCTGTAAATAAAATTATAGATGTTTGGTATTCTACCTGCAAGACAGATTAACTTTGTGGGGTTTTTTGGTCCATAAAGCTTTCTGGACTAACAAGTAAAAAATTGTCAGCTCAGTTAAATGACAAGAGAGAAATAAGAGACTAAAAAATTAAACACAGAAATATTCTGTGAACACAACTGGTTTCAAGCACTTTGACTGGATTCAGAAATCCTACAGAGTCAGCTACGCCATCCAAATGTTCACTCACATTTAAGCAGTGAATCCAAAACATGTGCCATGAAGAGGAATTCTGTATGAAAAATTACCAACAGTGAACACACTAGGGGAGCAGGCTCTCATTATCAGCTGTCTGCCCTTCTTTCTCCCTGCTCCTCAAGCACATCAGAGACAATAGCACTACAGGAACTTATTTGATAAGCAGTATACCAATTTCCTTTCTTTGTTGAACATTTTGTATACACACAGCACAACAGAACTGAAAAAATGAGTGTTCTGTCATAATTTGATTTCTGACAAGATCATTTTAGAATTTTTACTCTGAATACTGGATGTTAAAAACATTTGTACTTAAGTCAACAAACGATACATCCTATTAATGTATAGAAGACATCCAGAAAACGGTACTTCAGTAGTTTTTTTGCGTTTTATGCATGTGGGGTATTTTAAAAATTTTTTTTAACTCATTTACTGCCATCTCCTGGTACTTACAAGGTATTTAGGGTATTTAACAGCAGCCAGTACTCCTATTCAATACTCCTGAAATGCCAAAAACTTCTCAGAAATATTTTCAGAATATTGCTGTACTTTTCACATTGCTGTCTTTTATTCTGGAAATAGTGAATATTGTCCTTGGGCACAAACTGGTAAAAGGTTCATGGAGCTTACCTTCGTCTGGAAGCAGCAGTAAAGTTGTGTTAGGTATGGATGTTTCCGTGCTAATGCCAGAATTCTCTTTTCTGTCATTGTACAGTCTACATCGTCATCTTGAAGTATGACATCTTTCTTCAAGACTTTCACTGCGTATACTTCATCTTTTCCTTTTAGCTCAGCTAACATTACCTAAAACAAACAGAAATTCTGTTTACATATGAACAACAGATACTATAAATGCAGGGTTGCATGTGAGTTTGACCGCCCTGGAAATATAAAGACAGTAACATACTTGGTTGAATTAGGATGTATGTTTATGAAATTAAAAGTAATGTAATTTTAGAAAAAATATACCTCTGCTATTCTTTAAATTTGAAACAGGCAGTATTTATTTTGTTTGTTAGTTAAGAATGCAGAAGATAAAAAGTTTTTATCCCCTCATTCAAATATGTTAATGAGTGCCTATTAGTGAGATCTCAAAAACTAAAAATGGAAGGAAGTTGATATAGAACAGAAATTTATTTCCCACTTTTATCTTCTAGTTTTGGTAGTGAGATTTGTGTGTGATGAAGTTAGTATACAATGCCACCTACCATTCCAGCTGCTTTAAAGCTGTTGATTTTAACTACTACTATTGTTTAAGGTTCAAGTCCTATACTCTGTTTAATGTCAGTTCTGGCTTGGAGCCAGGACCATCTTCAGAGAAAGGATTAGAAAACAGGGAGACAAAAGAACTGCTTTACTACTGTTCCCCTGCATCTGCAGTTCTTGTATATCAAGGAAGGAAGAGTGTACTTGTAAAACATTTCAGTCCTCTTTGATTCCCCAGTGCATAGCACTGTGAAAAGAAAATCTGTAAGCCCTGTAAACAGAGCAACTCCCCTTCCACTCTCATCAATTCCCTACTGTGGGAAGGTATCTGGAGAGTTGCATCTTTGCCACATGTGTGGTAGTTTGGGCACCTAAGTCTTTTGCACTCGTCATATCTGAGTGAAAATGCTTGAGTTAGGCTTCCTCCAGCACTGAACACACCCACTGAGGAAAAACAAGCACACAAACTGTTCTATGAAGTAAGTAAACTTGAACTGGGTATTATCTAGAAAGGGAATGAACTCAGAACTCCACAGCATTATTCTTGGACTGATTTTTCCTGCCTGACCACAACTAATTATCTTGTTGAACACTATGTATGTAACTGTATGTGTGTCTTCATTACCAGTATCCTGAAATAATGAAACAATGAAATTTTTTTTCAGAAGGCTTGACTCTAGTTAATGAAAGCCAAAGCACAGAAAACGCCAGCTGATCAGGATGCTGATATTCCTGATCTGTGGGGTAAAAGCTGCTTTTACCCAAAGGGTAAAAGGAAACCCCTAGAGTGGAAGCACTTCCTGAATGTCATTATGAATATTTTCAAAGCAGTACAGTCAAAAAAAGCCTGCACATCAGAAAAAAAAAAAACCCAACCCAAAAACAAGACCAAAAAACCCCAAAAAGCCCAGAAGCTTCCCACCTTGCCAAAGCTGCCTTTTCCTAATACTTTGATGAAGTTGAACTCTTCAAGGCCTATTCGCTTGGTCTGGGCCTGTTTGACCTCCCCGTTTTCACCATTCTCCCCAGGTTTGTTAAGCTGGCTGTCTGTTGACGTTGTAGCTGTTGCCCTGTGTTCCTCTCCCCGATTGTCAAATGATAACGCCTTCCTAATGTTGTTTTCCAGCTCTTTGATTTCTGTGGAAACAAGAGAAAAAAAGTGGTTGTTTTAACCAACCATCAGAAAAATAGCCTGTGTTAGTTTATAACAGTTTTGGGAAGAGAGATTTATAACCCTCCAATGCTGTGTATTTAGCATATGTAGCAAACTGCTACATATGCTCAACCAAAACCCTGCTCTAACAGGAAGGGTGGTCTTTAAAAATGAACCTAAGAGAATTACATATCCAAAACTTGAAAGATAAGTCAGGATAGTAGCCTAATAGTTGTTTAGTGATTTTGGGTGTTCCTGTACCCCAGAGAAGTACTTTGTTTTGAAAACCCCTATCTTCCTGCAGCACTTACTCATCTTCCTGCTTAAGTATTTTTGAGTTGTATCTTCAAAACTTCAAAGGATAGTTGGGCATCCCAGTCCTTGAAGTCAACATGAATGGAGCATCTTACTCAGCTCCAGCTGCTATCAGACGCCTGCCAATAAAGCATTTGACCACTTCCTAGTGCTGCTTCAAGAAGCAATTGTGTAGATCTGCTAAATGATTCTGAGGGTTTCTCAGTGTTAAACACAGTGAGTCCTGGTGACTAACAGAGCTCAGGGTCTGCTTCAAGATCTTGCATAGTACTTCTGCCTGATGGCCTTGGAAGCAACAACTTTACAGGTGAGCTACAAAAGTGAAATTTAAGTGAGAATTTAGACAAATTATTTGCTCTTATTTTAAGGAAAACACCAGATATTTTAAAAATATTATCTAAACAAAATACTGTCTGTGAAACCAAAAGGCTGACAAATTTAAATAACTTCTGGACTCAAAGTTTTACAGTACTTATTACCATGGAGCTCTGGAAATATCTTTCCTAAAAATAAGGCTGAGTAATTTCTCAACTGCAAACAGTTTTCAAAGAATTTGGCATAAACATCTTCCTATGTTTTGGTGTAGAGATTCTTCATACATAAGATACCTCATAGACTTCTGATTTTTAAAAACAACAATCAGATCAGATTAAAAAAGTGCTGCTGACATACAGGTTCTGTCAATTAGGCTGTTCAGCTCAATAAATCAGGTCATATCAGTGAAGATTAATATATTTGTCTCCAAATCTATGCATGAAACAAAATCACTGAAAGTAAACATGGTTTTTTGAAGCCTCTAGAGACCACACAGACATGACAGCATAGCATAACTAGATGCAAGCTTTTATTATCACAAATGTTCAATGTGGAACTGCAAGGAAGCAATTTTATCTCAAAAACTTATTATCAGATATAAGCTTTTCAGATAAATAAAGTCCCTCTCAAGATCTGTGTTACTATTTAAAATGTTCTCAGTCTTACAATAGAATATATAACCTCCTTACATAAAAGCATCTGGCTAAGCAAGGACTCATCTAGTAAACTTAACAATATTTTAAGATGACTGTTCTGTAATTTTCCTTTTAAAAGACACTTAAATTTCTCAGATTTAAATGAAATGAGAAGCAGGCCTTTTAAAAAAGCTTTTGCCATTCCTAAATTTAAGTGCTTCATTTTCTGGTGGCAATTACTTCGTGGATTTGGTTCTAGATATGCTGGCACTGACAGCTTTTTTACTCCTCTTAAAGAAGTAAAATATGTGACAATACATATCAGTTAGGAAATAAAAAGAGATGTTCAACCTTGATCACATGGAGAAGTTGGTGCTGACTTTGACCTATCTTCTTCTGATGATGCGCTTCCAGGAACTGGTTGTTGAGTCTCTGCACCTGCAATTAGCTAGGAACAATTCCAAAAGGGGTACTCAGATATGACATACTCTCGTGTCACAAGGAAATTTAATTTAACAACCTTAATTCCCAAGTAGAAGTATGAAAAAAGTGAAGATGTTCTACCCCTATAGGTTCTCACTGGAAGGACCTCAACCATACAGTAGATGGCATCATATCAAATGGATAACATAGTATAAATAAAGAAAGAACTGTCAATTTAAAGAAAAATCGGTTTTTAAGGTGAAATAAATGTATTAAGCATACCCAGCAAGTGGAAAAGTTTTGAATAGCCACTGTAAGTCTGTGTAGAAATCTGTCCAGTAAATACGTTTAACTACAACAAGTATCGGCAAGCACTGCAAACTAACTCATACAGTAACAACATGACAACATCTTTTCCCAGGAGTCACAGATCAATTAATTTATTCCTGAGTTTTCTATGTTTCTGTAACATTTTAACAGTGTACATAGGATCCAAGTATGCAATAATCAGTAAAATGAACAGAACCAAATGTCAATGTTTTAAGAAATTATGATAAAAATTGCCTATTTCTGTAAGTGAGAGCAACAGGCCTGTTGCCACATTCATGCAAATAGAGATAGAATGTGCAGCCAAATTCTGATCCAGGATACTTATTATCAGTCCAGAATAACTCAATCAGCTTTGGACATACTTGAGGTGACCTAGGCTTTTCATTTCTAGAACAGCCTAGTTCTTCCTAAAATAGTGATGACAACTCTGGAACCATCATCTGGCAAACAGCTCCTCTTCACGAGAACCAGCACATTTCTCATTTACCAGCATTTACAATGTTATATAGTAGTGCTGTGTCTCAATCAATCAGTTACCCAATGTCCATTCTGACCCAAAGAGATATTTACGTTTTTATGAACTGTTGTGTCTGATACTGTCTCTCCATCAAATCTCCTTCCTCAAACTTAAAAAAGGGAAATCCCTCCAGACTCTATACAGACTCCAGGTTTGCAAAACTGTAGCAAGTCAAAATAAATTTAATACCAAAATTCAGAATAGATGATTTGCAGTTATAAATCAAAAGCCAAAGTCTTAGTGCTGTACTGACTTAAAAAAAAATCTTGCACAAGTCAAGCAAGTGGGACTGAACCCCAAATAGTAAAATTACAATGCAGCCATACTCATCTCATTTTTTTACGTGACACTACATAGTAAAATTACCTTTTTCCTCCTCTGCCCACTGTTAGTGATCTTATCTGGAGTGACTCCAAGATCTGCAAGCACTTTAGCTATGCCTCTAGCATCCACTCCACAGTTTGGTGCCACATTTGTTTCACAGCGTCGATGTACATTCATCTTGCAAACTGCAATGAAATGTAAAGTAATAGAGTAAATAAAATACTACCCTGGCATGCATTTGTCTTACTTAAATCAGACCTTATTGCACCTACCAGTAACTTTTTCAAATAAATATAATTTCAGTAGAAAAATACTTCGCTGGATTTGCAGTGACTAATATAATATAATATTCAATGCCAATATAAAATTATTAACCTGGTTATCATTCTTCTGCTATGATAATGCAGAACAGTGTTTTCACACAGTACCCAGGACACAGGAACAAATGAAAATTTCTAATGTTTCTGTGAATCTTAAACAGAATTTGAAGAAAACTCCCTCAGAACTTGGATTTTATCAGCCCACTTCTGCTCTCACAGTTAGAGAACATTAGTTCCTTATATATTCTTGCTTCTTACTCTACTTTACTCAGGTAGATTAACTCCTAATGTAGGTAGGCAGAAAAGCAACAGTGTTTTAAGTTTTAATTAAAGTCTTTGTCACTGTTAGACATTCTCCTTCTTTAGATGGCAGTCCAGTTACTAAGCTCTTTTTCTTAAATACCATCTTCTGAAACTAGCATACCAGTAGGAGGAAAAAAAGTTTAAATTGCTTCCAGGTTATGGGGTAGGGGTGGAGAACACAGCTCCATTAAAAACAGTACAGGGTGGATTTGTTAGGGCCAGATGACAAATTTTATCTTAGACGTCACTGCCCTCTTGTGGAGCTAGGCATAAAGGGAGGGAAACTGCAAGTGTTACTAAATACTAGATTAACATTCAATTGCTCAAATTCCTCAATTACTTTTTCGAGAAAAAAATATTAAAAATTTTATGCATTTATAAAGCTTCATTTCATTATATCGTTCATCAATGATACTTTCACTTGTGTAAGACCTAAAGAAACAAACCACATTTGCGTCTGAGACTACCCACAGGCATTATATCTGCAGCAGTAACCAGGTGCTTCAGAAAGCAGGTGCCTCTTCTTTTCAAGTATGTTTCAGCTCACAAGAAGAGCAAAAAGAATTTGCTACACATGGTGTTTTCAGTGCATGTATATTCAGTGACAAAAGCTCAGTGGCAAAATGTTTGACCTAGGATCCACAACAGTGGACATTGAGGAACTGAACTGCTTGACACAAAGCAAGCAGGAAAATTCTGTACAGTCCACCTTCATGAACATATTTTGTAAAAAGAAGCACAGGAATAAGAAGTTAAAAAACCAGAAGAAGAATAAATCTCTGGAATACACTTTTCATGGTGTTAATAACCACACTGGGCAAGCAAGTACATGTCTGGAGAAGGGAACATTGTTCTGCACTTGCTAAGAGAGAAAACAAAGCACAGAGAAAATTACATTTCCAGCTCCACTACATTCTAGATTTCATGCAGACAATATTGTATTTTATAGGCACTAATCTTATGAACATGGAGTAAGCAACACAGGCTCTCTGAACTATTGTTTCTACGCATCTGCTACCCAGTAAATGCATACATATGAGAAAGAACATTATTTTCTATAGTTAAGAGCAAATGAACCAATACGGTACTTGAGAGAGCACATGAAAGTGAACTAATATATTCACAGATTAAGTGGAGAGAGATACTATGGCTCTGATTAAAAATCAAAGACAAAAAAAATCAGGTTTAATTGAAAAGTCTTCTCTGAATATATCTCCACCATAATTAAGATACCATTTGAACAAAATCTTCAATAGTAGTAAAGTAACAGTATTTAGAGTCTAACATTTTATCACTGCTCACTAGGTAGAATCACAAGGGAAGGCCTGAACTTCAGAATGCTCTCACTGTGAATTACTTCGCCATGAAAGAAATTTCTTCTTTCCCTTGCCGCCCAGTAATTTGTGACATGAAACATTAGGCTTCACCTTCATCTATAGTTACATCTTGTCTTAAATACTGCAAAGGATATATTTCATAGAATACCTGTTTATACACATGTGTGACTCCATGTTTCTGCAGTTGAGAAGTGTACATAACATGATTTTTTTATTTATGAAGATGGACCTACCCATTCATAAAGGTACTTATAATTCCATTAGGTACAGCTTTCTAAGAATCTGACAACCTTCATGACATCATTCCCATTAACCCACTGAACCCATTGAAGCCTTTTATTAACTATTTCTAAAATATTATTTTCCTTTGAAAGTGTTTGTACTGTTTTCTCCCCCATTTAGAATATATAGATCTGCTTGAAACAAAGAGATATGGAACTAATCATTTCTGTTTGTCAGCTAAAATGACATGAATACACCTTCCAGCAGCAACTTCATATACAGTTCCTGTACAGAGTACACAGTCCTTTAACTGCAGAACATAATGAATCATCCTTCAAAGATGGGCCACAAAGATGAGCATCTCCCATATGAGGAAAGGCTGAGAGAGCTGGGACTCTTCAGCCTGGAGAAGAGAAGACTGAGAGGGGATCTTATTAATGTCTATAAATACCTGGAGTGTGGGGGCCAAATGGATGGGGCTGGGCTCTTTTCAGTGGTGCCCAGTGACAGGACAAGGGGCAATGGGCAAAAACTGGAACACCGGAAGTTCCAGTCCGCTATTCACTTTCTAATAATTTCTGTACATTCTGGAGAAGACAGAATATCTGAAGTTCTTTCAAAGTCTACAAGTCATTCACAAAGAAAAAGAAAAGCTCTGAAGTGGTAATCCTTACCTTTGCATTGTAAACCTTGTCTCAAAAGACCCCAGAGCAATGAACCACAGTGGTCACAGAAGGTGGGCACTTTGTAATTGTGAATGCTGAACTTGTGAGGCATATTGACACTGAAACGCTGGGATCCCACTTGCTGAAAAAGGAGAACACAGCATATTTTATTCCAATTAATTTCTTTACAATCAGTGTATGCCAAAGTCTTTTTACGTTTTGAAACCACACAGAATTCCAACAAGATGAAAAGGTCTGTGCTCAGATGATGATCTTTGCATTGGATATACTCCAGCCCCTGAGTTCTTCTCACTACTTTTATTAGGGGAAAAAGAGGGGGAAGGGCTGCTGTTGTCCAAGAGATAAAGACCAAAGTCTACTTCCTAGTACTTGTGGGAACAACAAATACATAGCTATCAGGAAAGATCTCTTCATGTGGAAGGCAAGGAAGTCACTCCCAATTGTTGCAGGAGCAGGAGACCCAACTAATACAGGATTAAGAAATAGAAATATATCACAACCCCTTTACCTTTTCATATCCCACTCTTCTTTAGATTATGAAAATGACAAGGATAAGTTGTTGTGTTCAGGGATTCCAAGGTATGATTACTTACTAACTAAAGGATGTCACTGATAAGTTTTTATCGTGGTCACTGCATAGCAGGAGATTAATTAAGATATGTTTTTCCTTTCCTTTTCTATTACTGCTGGTTTCTCTCCAGTGATCTAGTACCCCTTCTGAACAGTGAGAGCACTCTATCAGCAAAGCATACATGTCTCCACCAGTCTGGAGCCTGGAAATATAAATCTACACAAGATTTTGTACCTTCCTGTAAGTACTAGGCAAAAAGAGCACTAGCCATACACAATCCTTTATCACAATCCTCTGCACGTGATCAAGTTTCAGACGTAAAATACTGGTTGCGAATCAGATATGAAAGAATGCTTCCAGTATGAAAAATGGCAGTGAATTGCACAGGAAGAATGAGATCAATTAGTGTCTCAGTCAAATTCATGTCTAAGTTGAAAGAGTGGCTTAAAACAATTGTTACATACAACTCTGATTTGTAATTTAAAACTAGGCTTTTTCAAGTACATAAATGCAGGTTCTTAACAAATAAAACTAAGAAATGTACTTTTCTGTGTGGCCAAGGGACTGGGATCATCCACAGACTACCTCACTAATCCTATAGCAGGATAGTAGACCCTTGCTTTTGCACAAAACAGAACAGGACAGTGAGCATTCATTAGCTTTTCTGTTAAAACACAAACAAAAAACTTATGTATAAAATAAAGCATTCACTGGTTAGAGTTGAGGGCTACAACTATTTAAAAAAAGTTGTAAACCCCACCACCCTCTCCAACTGTCCCCTATCAACCCAGCCATAAAAGGATACCCCAAAGCTGAGGAATCTAAGGCAGCTGAACCCTACAGCAGTCACATCACTCCTTGGTGTATGACTGAACACAGAAATTAACATTAGTTTCCTAACCAAGCCTAAAAGGGTCATCTTAGCTGAGAGGGGCCTTTAACCCAAGTGAAAGGATTGCTTTGTTTTCTCTTCTGATCCAGAGCTGAACATGCTGTTGGTTTATCTATTTACCTCCCTGACAGAATGGTGCTGGAGGCAGCTAATTTAATTTTCAGGTAATGTCTTCATTTATTTAAATGCATGATATCATAAAGCTAGAGGTAGGGAGTAATTATGCTGAAAATCTGTTAGCTCTGCAGTACCTTGTGTTATCGCTACCGTCTTGCACACTATTGATGGGCCTTCTTCAACATACAGATGGGTTTTGTTCTACATTTTGACAGTTTGGATGCAGTCTTTGTTGAGGTGAGACTTTGCAAGTAAATTCTGGGTGGTCTTTTATGTTGATGCAAAATACTAAAGTATACTGTCTATCCTATCAGCTGCTAATGACTCCGCCACACAAAATGCAATTCAGGGATAAAGGGTCCCATCCTGCTTCTTTGGAATTAAAATTCCAAAACTCATATTAACTCAGAAGTGGAGAAATGTTAAAAATGAAAAGGGGCAGAAGGAGCTCACTGAGACTTTAAGCATTGAGATGTTATAAAAAATTTAATAATTAGACATAAATTGCAGTATAATAATTTCAATGTAAATGAAACTGTTATGGTAATCTGTCATTCCAAAAAAATACATCACAAGATGACTAGAAGGGCACAAAAAAGTCCAGAAAATTTATTGATTAAACAGAGGAGATGACACCACTTTGAACACATGAAAGACAGAATTTAATCTGAAAAAAATATTTTATAAACATTTACCTCATCGTGAGTTTCCTGTTTTTTTAAGCCAGCACACTTCGTTATTATAAGTTCATGGCATCTCTTGTGGACTACACAAGTGCAAACTATAAATAAAAAACAGAGAAAAGAATGCATTTTCATGAAGATTGATTTTAAAGCAAAAGACTGTTCTCAGAAGACTAGAAATGCTGGGACTTGAAAGCGCTGCAAGTGACTGGTGACTTCTTGAGTCCTATGAAGTAAGTCTGGCTTACAAAGGCAGAAGATAATGGACTTTCAAGAGACCAATGAATTTTAGGACAATTAAAGCATATCTGCCAAATCTCAGTATGTAAACCTATAAATTACCTTCTGAAATATTAAACACAATTTTTCTCAATTTTTACATGTTTCTTTATCTGTTAAAGTCCATGATCTCCACATTGGCAAAAGAAAAATTGCTCTCTGAAGAGCTTCCAGGGGAAAAGAGACATAAAGATAACTCATTGTAAATGCCAAAGAACAGAAAAAAACAAAGTTGAACATTCTTTCTGTAACATATTATCGTAAATTGGTAACAGTAAATGTTTCAGGAGGCAAAAATGCTTTTTCAATATTCATACTGATTACTTAATCAATAACTAACATTTGCAGATATGACAGATAAGAGTAATAATTGCAAGTTCTATTGTACTGTGGGATTCAAAGTCACTAAGTGAAGAAAAAACCCTTCAGAATGAAATAATGAATTTCATTTTCTTATAGCTCTGGTCATTTTTGTAAAAAAAAAAAAAAAGATCAGAACTCAAGGAACCTCTGCTGTATATTAATACAGCAATTCTTATTACAGCAAGTAAAACCACTACTTGCATTCATTTTTTTACAATGAGATTTCAACAAGTCTTTTGTAACTGAAAAATCATCACTAACTTGATTATTTCTACTTGTCAGATGAGAAGCAGAAAAACATCATCCCAAGAGGTGACTGCATAAAAAAATCAAGAGTACAAGAAATTAAGTTGAAAAATGGAGTTGAAAATTATGTACTTCTGCAGCCTTTGCTATAACCTTCTCTAATGATGACCTCTATAATTATCTCATCTATTTAATTATAGTCTTTGCAATTACCTGGCATTTTAAAATGAAGAATCTTAAGCAGAATAAAGAATTCACAATTTTAAAATGCAAGAAGTGAAAAATGGATAAGACAACATCTGCAGATACATCCCCCTGGTTGGATGTGCACCAAGAGATACCTAGGATCTGCTGTTCAGTGATGATAACCGTGCCCCTCCCTCATCTGTGCTGTCTAAGACCAACAGTTTTGAAAAATCTTACTGTGACTTACTGTAAAGACTGTATCTTTGGTGAAACAAACTTATTCTGTATCATCTTGTGCTACATTCTAAATGCTGTACATAGACAATACTTGATGAAAATATCTTATTATTTATATATTATAACATCAACATATATTCAAACTGTCCCCCTGTAGATTTTCTCTTACCTTGACACTGGTATCCCTGTTTTCCTATTACACCCCTGAAAACAAAAGAGTGTTTTAGAAAATGAAGAATATATATTTTTTTAAATTATTTTTTTTCCTTCTCTTTAAAGGACATGCACAAATTTAAAAGAATAGCTTTTAATAACCAATAATCTCATAACTGCATGCCTAGTCTGAGATCAGTTCAAAGTAGGAACCACGTTTCAGCTGCTAAGACATACGAGGTAGGATGACAGGCCATGAAGAGATTAATGTGTAAAGACACATTTACTATAATAGAATAGGCAAAGCCAAAGGGTACATAGAGAAGGAAGCCACAAGCCAGTAAAATGGTCATCAAGCAGGCCTCTAAACAGACAGAAGATTGTATTTGCCAATATTGTTGCTTGAAATCATCTTAGCTAACCTAAAGTCTAACCTGCAGACATTTCTTAGAGGAATGTAGTTGAGTTCACGTACAATTAACATAATTTCACATTAAGAAAGACTGATTGGTTACACACTCTTAAGAAATATTAATTATGGATCACATTAGATCTTATATGTGTTAAGGTGCAAATCAGTATCTCTGGGTAACTCTGGAAAACATCAGTAGTTACTGAAAAATAACTGAAATCTGAATGGCTCCACCACTTTTCCCTATCTGAAAGTTGTGAGTACTCCAAACTAACGCAAACCACCTCTAAAAGGGAGTTCTTGACATACACTGCAATAAGAAAGACCCTGTACACTGAGAACCCAAACCCCTAGACTATTAGAA